AAAAGTAGGAAGTCAAGAAACACCTGGAGTAACAGGCAAATTTGGCCTTGGAGTACAGAATGAAGCAGGGCAAAGGCTAATAGAGTTCTGCCAAGAGAACGCACTGGTCATAGCAAACACCCTCTTCCAACAACACAAGAGAAGACTCTACCCATGGACATCACCAGATGGTCAACACCGAAATCAGATTGATCATAATCTTTGCAGCCAAAAATGGAGAAGCTCTATACAGTCAGCAAAACAAGACCGGGAGCTGACTGTGGCTCAGATCATGAACTCCTTATTGCCAAATTCAGACTTAAATTGAAGAAAGTGGGGAAAACCACTAGACCATTCAGGTATGACCTAAATCAAATCCCTTATGATTATACAGTGGAAGTGAGAAATAGATTTAAGGGACTAGATCTGATAGAGTGCCTGATGAACTATGGACGGAGGTTTGTGACATTGTATAGGAGACAGGGAGCAAGACCATCCCCAAGAAAAAGAAATGCAAAAAAGCAAAATGGCTGTCTGAGGAGGCCTTACAAATAGCTGTGAAAAGAAGAGAAGTGAAAGGCAAAGGAGAAAAGGAAAGATAAACCCATCTGAATGCAGAGTTCCAAACAATAGCAAGGAGAGATAAGAAAGCCTTCCTCAGTAATCAGTGCAAAGAAATAGGGAACAACAATAGAATGGGAAAGACTAGAGATCTCTTGAAGATAATTAGAGATATCAAGGGAATATTTCATGCAACGATGGGCTCAATAAAGGACAGGAATGGTATGGACCTAACAAAAGGAGAAGATATTAAGAAGAGGTGGCAAGAATACACAGAAAAACTGTACAAAAATGATCTTCATGACCCAGATAATCACAATGGTGTGATCACTCACTAGAGTCAGACATCCTGGAAGGTGAAGTCAAGGAGGCCTTAGGAAGCATCACTACAAACAAAGCAGGAAAGGGGGATTGGAAACATGGGTGTATGTGTGTGTATTCTGAAATAGGGTAGTCAGGGAAGGCCCAACTGAGAAGGTGACATTTAAGTCAAGACCTGAAGGAGGCAAGGAGGTGAAACACAAGGATATCTGGATGATTCAATGGTGTACAAAAGAATGGAAAACATTTTCTGCTTAAAAGGATTCTACAATCTACAGCAGCTGGGAGACAAATATAAAAATAATTGTAGTGTATATGACTGAGCAACTGAAGAACAGCAACATATGACAACCTTCTATAAGCTGTAATGGTCTATAAATGGAAGATATTTTCAGTAAGTTACACATAAAACTATTAACAAGATCATATATCAGCATTATTTGCTGTTGTTCACTAAGTCCTGTCCGACTCTTTGCAACCCCATGGACTGCGGCACGCCAGGCTTCCCTGTCCCTCACTATCTCCCCGAGTTTGCTCAAACTCACATCTGTTGAGTCGGTGATGCCATCCAACCATCTCATCCTCTGTTATCCCTTCTCCTCCCTCCTTCAGTTTTTCCCAGCATCAGTGTTTTCCAGTGAGTCAGCTCTTCGCATCAGGTGGCCAAAGTACTGGAGCTTCGGCTTTAGCATCAGTCCTTCCAATGAATATTCAGGGTTGATATCCTTTAGGATTGACTGGTTTGAATATCAGCATTATAACTGTATATAAAATGATAAACTACACAATACAAGGAGGAAATCTGATAGTGTACAATTTAAGGGTTAATTGTTTAGATCTGTATGGCACTAGAAACACCATGACTATTTTTTTTTTCCTCTAAGAAGGGAAAGAGGTGCTTCCAACACATGGGAAAACCCTTGAGGGCTCTGCTTGGGAGTCCACTTATTTTTTTGTGGTAAGGTAGGGTATAATCAGTATTTGTGGGTAGGAGAGTTACTGCTCTGAGAAGACAGATGTTACAGAGAAGTCATTTGCAAACCCATGAGTTATTTGCATGTTGTCGGGGCCAAAAGGTCTCAGAACTAAGCTTTCTTTCTTTCTCTTCATTTTACTGTCCCACAAGATGTAGAACTTGTGGGAATAAATGATGTTGACCTTTTAAACAAACAAACGAAAGAAGAAACAAACTATTGAACTATTTGCATTCTACCTAGATCCTGGGATTTCTGAGTCACTCTGAAGGAGGTCTTCAGGAACCTAGCCTTGGTTACAGAAAAAAAAATTTTTTTTTCCACTGGGAGAAGCAGGTTAGAGCTGGAAAAATCAGTCTTTTAGTAGAACTCTTATGAGCTTCCTGGCGCTCCAAGGATTTTTGCAAGGTTGTGAGTTCACCCAGCTGATCAGCCAGCCAGAGGGCATTCGTCTAACTCTGAAAGCTTGCAAGACACTTACAGTCCACATCACAGCGGACACGGAAGGCCTGGATCCCGTAGCTTATCTGCTGGGTTAGAAAGGAGGGTGTGACAGGTGCCCAGCGCTGGCCAAGCACCATCCCATTCACTCACCCATTCATTCATCAAGTATTTTATTATGCGCATATTCAGCGCCAAGCAGAGGTCGGCGCCCGCCAGTCCGTCCAGAACTCCTGTGGGTGAGGGGCGCAGAGCCGAGAACTTCCAAGTTTTCAGGCCGGGGGTCTTCCCCCACCCGCGTCTTCCCTCCAGCGGAGTAACAAGACAAAGAGACTTGCCCCGGCCGCTCCCCTGGCCGAGGGTTCCGCCCGAGGCCCCCTGGGCTCCCGCGCGGCTGCTTCTCCACTCCCCAGCCCGAGGGGGCGCTGCAGCGCCGGGCGCTCGGCCCGCCCCTGCGCCGAGCCCCGCTCAGCTCCGCGCTGCGGGCGGCACCGCGGTGGTACGTTCCCCCGAGCCGCCCTCCCCTCTCCGCGTCGGCCCTCCCCGCCGGTGGTAGGTGCCGGAAGTGCCGCCATTTTGGGGTGTTCGGCTTTGGCGGCGGCGGCAGCGGCGGCGGCGGCGGGACGCAGCGGCTCCCCCGGGACTCGGCCTCAGCAGCGAGGCGGCGGCGGCGGCGGCTGCGGAGGCGCAGGCAGCAGCTGAGGCGGCGGCGGGCTGAGGTGCAGCCGCTGGTAAGTGCGGCGGCCGTGGGATAACGGGCCGCGCGGGTGGAGGGAGGGAAAGGGGCAGGAGGGAGGCGCCGCGGGGCGGGTCCGGTCCGGGCGGCCCCGCGGGGTCACCAGGGCTCCTCCGGGCGCGGCCGCTCCGGGTTCCTCGCGGCCCCCGGAGGCAGGTCCGCGGTCTCTCCCCGGGTGTCGGGGTCCTCGGCTGCCCGGGTCCTGCCGCGCTGGTCCGGCGCGTGCCCCGCGCCCAGGGAGACCCGCCCTCCTCGTGGCCTTGCCCCTCTGCCCGCGCCCTCTGCCCGCGCCCTCTGCCTTCCCCCTCGGGGCTCCGAGGGCTCGGTTCCCTGCCTCGTCTGTAGCTCCGTCCTCGTTTTTCCGGCCGCCGTGCCAGACCCAGGCTGCCTGCCCGGGACACCCCTTCCCTGCTCTTGTCGCCCCACGTGTTCTCGGTCCTTATCCTTGGGGTAGGGGTGGGGTGTCCCCAGGACCCCCTCCTCCGGAGGGCCGCGCTTCTTCTCCGGAGCTTTGGGAGCCCCCCAGTTCCTCGCCCCAGATCCGCTAGGGCCTTGGCTCACCCTCCCCCCACGTCAGGTGCTCACCCAGTCACGGCCTAGTAGCTGGGCTGGATTCTCGCACCCGGGAGCGCCGAGAGCACGGCCAGGAGCTTTCTTCCTTTGCTAAAGGACCTGCTTTTGGAATGTAAGCTTCTGGTGTCTTCGGTTGCGGTTCTCCAGGCAGGATGTTGTTTTAATTCTCGAGGACGGTTGTCCAGGCTCGAAGCAGCTTCTCTTTGGTTTAGGCTCATCCCCGTAGTGGAGGGGCAGGTGGTAAGGTTTTGGTCAGAGGCTGCTTTAGCAAAATGGAATCCTTTCTTTTTTCTTTTTTCTTTTTCTCGCCAGCAAAGTTAATGCTGTACTTTTATTACCTTCGAGTGAGAAGGCTGCCTAATACTGTCAGACAGCGTGGAGTGCTTTATAATGTTTGCAGTGTGAGAGGTTACAGATACCCGATGAATCCTTTGCAAGAACTTCACTCCTAACAAAGGTCTTTTCGCTTTCTTTGATGCTCTGTAGGTTGAAGAGGCTTTAGTAGCATTCTCTCACCTTTTCCACAAGTGTCGGGTTGGCTCATTTTCCACAAGTGTGCCCTCTCTCCGAGGGGTATTGCCAAGTTTGAGTTTGTCCTGAAATTCTCGCGAAGTAAGGGTCGTCTGTGAGAACCACCAAGGATTCTTTCCACTTTAATATTCACGAGTCCACTTGGAAAATAATCCAGTTGCCACAGCGTGCATAAACTATTGCTCCAGGTCCCTCCCCTACGGCTGTGTTGTTATGTTCTTCTAACTTTACTTACAAGTCTGCGGTTTCTCCTCCTAAGTTAGCTAAGATTGAAGCATTGCTAGTAGGGAAGCGAAGCCGGAGCTTTCAGCTGTTGTTTCAACCAGGAAGTTTATGGTTTCCCCAGCGGGTTCTTGCCTCTTGACTGTCCATCACCTATTTCCATTGAGAATGGCCCTTGACCCAGAGCATAGGCCTCAACTTCTTTCCAGCTATTCATTTATTTTTGCCCACGGGGTTTTCTTCTCCTCACTTGGTATCTAGACTTAAAATCCATTCGCTGGTGAGGCTAGATGAGCTGGTGAGATACAATAGCTTTTCCAACCACTTCACTTTTCAGATGAGGAAACTGAGGCTCCCACAGGTTACTTGCCCCAGATTCTGTAGCACCTGCCCTTAGGACAGTTTCAACATAGATTAAATATATATATATATATATTTAATAAATTATATATATATATATATAATGGGCAGTAATGCAAATTGCTCTTCCAGATGTGGTGGAACGGAAAGGACTTGGAGTTGGAAGACCTCAATTGTCATCCTTGCTCTGTTTCTAGCCGTACAGCCTTGACCGAGTCTCCGCTTTGAGCCTGTTCATTCTCGTCTGTAAAGTGGAGGAAATCATGACCGTTTCCCATGGTGCCAGTTCAGTTCAGTGCCGTGACATACTACCAGAGGCAGGCAGTGAAATTTTAAGCCAGAATGATTTATTCTTCTGACAGTTATATTTCTTATTACAGAAGTTACAGATTCATTATAAAAAAATGCAGATATGCCCAAAAGGGAGAGCTTCACCCTTAGTTCCACCACTCAGAGGTGATTGGTGATGTTTAGTCTTTATCTCACTATCTTTTTTTATATTTGGTAGAAAAGTTCATTATTTTATCAAAATAGGCTTACCCAGTTAATAGTTTCGTGATGTGTTTTTAGGATTTAATACTAGGTGATAGGCATTAACAACTCCATATTAAATGATTCTCTGTGTCTTATAGCTCCCGCACATGAGTTAGGCCAGCGGCTATCGGAGCATGGGAACTGAGAATCTGCTCTTTTAAACATGCTGGGCGGGAAGGAGAGGCGAGGAAGGGCAGAGACGGGACATGTATTGTATGTCTACTGTGGGATTTTTTTTTTTTTTTCTTTTTAGAAATATTTTGGCTCTGCTGCTCAATGTAGAGTCTGAGTCTTGAATTCTGTGCCCTTTCCTGTGACTGCCACTGTTGCTTCTTTAACTTTCCTGTGAGGCCAGACCTAATAAGGAATTGGGAGGTTAGAAGGTGGTGGTGATGTGCCTTGGAGGGGAAAAGAAAAGGGCTGTCACCTGGAGGCTGGGCTGAAGAAATTGGAGGAAGTAGAGGCACCGGATCCTCTCTGAGCTCAGGGATCTGGGTACTTCCAACAAAGTGCTCTCTTTTCTTAAACCAGCACATGATATAATTTGGTTTAACTCTGTTTCCTCTGCTTTTTTTTTAACAGCTTTATTGAGATGTAATTCACATACTATACAATCTCATAGTTTTAGTATATTACATTATTTAAAGAAATTGTGGTAAAATATAACACAGTTTTGCCATTTTAACCATTTTTTTTAATGTGGCATAAAGCACATAACATGAAAGTTACCATCCTAATTATTTTTGAATGTACAGTTTTGTAGCATTAAGTTGTTACTGCCAAGTGGTGTCTGACCCTTTTGCAACCAGATGGACTGTAGCCCGCCAGGCTTCTCTGTCCATGAAATTTCCCAGGCTTGAATACTGGAGTGGGTTGCTGATTTCTCCTCTAGGGGTTCTTTCCAACCCGGGGATTGAACCCACATCTTCTGCAGAGAGGAGGGTTGTTTACCACTGAGCCACCAGGGAAGCCCCTAGCATTAAGTACATTCGTATTAATGGAAAATAGATCTCAAGGACTTTTTCATGTTCTAAATCTGAAACTATGTATCCATTAAACAACTCCCATTTTCTTCCTTTTCTCCTCACCCCAGCCTTTCATAACTGCCATTCTGCTTACTACTTCTATGAATTTGATGAATTTTCTATTTATAAGTGGAATCACACAGTATTTGGCTATTTGTGACTGGTTTCTTTCACTTACTAGAGTATCTTTAAGGTTCCTCCATGTTGTAGCACGTGGAAGGATTTCTTTCCTTTTAAAGACTGAATAACCTGTTATGTGAACATACCACATTTTGTCCACTTACTTGTTGATAGACATAAGTTGTTTCCACCTTTGGGCCTTTATGGTGAGTGCTGCTGTGAACATGGATGTGCATATTTATCTCTGAGATCCTACTTTCAATTCTTTCAGATGGTACTCAGAAGTGAAATGGCTGAATCATATGGTGGTTCTGTGTTTAATTTTTTGAGGAGCCTCCATACTGTTTTTCGCAATGATTTCACTGTTTCACCATCCCACAAACAGTGCACAAGAGCTCATGTATCTCCCCATGCTCCTCAGCATTTGTTTTCTTCTTTGTTTTGGCCACACCGTGGAGCATGCAGGGTCTTAGTCCCCGTCCATGTCCCATGTCCGTGTCCGTCCCCCCCCC